TAAGAACAACCCAAAAAAGAGAATCAACTCCGCAGCAATAGGTTGAGGGTTTAATGCTGGGGGGGCGGGGATCCTCTACAGGCGAAGCCCCCCTGGAGAATCCTTGTTCTCGGGGTGAAAGAGAGCGTGAAGGGGAGTTGGAAAGAGCTTGTCCCCAGTGAGGGGCAGGTACGAAATCCTCCTTAGGTCCGATGCAGCACGGAGCTCTACTGGGGGATGGTAGTACTTTCACCCCAGCTGTTTTTGTCAAATACGTCCCACACTGGGACCCGTTTGGTTGGCTTTGCGTGATCGCTCAAGAACAGAGGTACCTGGTAGTCCGCCTACTCTGCCAGCCCTCTCCCTGTGCCTGCTGTGAAATGTGGGGACGCTCCCCAGCACGCTGGAGACTATGGGATCTTGGGGTGCTGACAGCTAGGGGCGTAGTGAGGGTGATGAGCACCCTGGGGCAATGTCTAAATTACCCCACAAATAGAGCACTCGGGCGCAATGCCTGACATCCCCCATCCTTTTTTCAGTAAAAGTAACGTAGTTGGGGATGGCTTCCACGTCTTCCTCCCTCTTGACCAGCAGCCCCCGTTGGGCGCCATTCATACTTGTGGGGGCTTCAGAATGTCATTGGTGTCCCCTTTTGTGCCCCTTTGGACTTGTGCCGCAGACAGGTGCCCCTCCCTGGTGTTCCTGCTTGAGAAGGTGACTGGGTCCCAGCAGGTATACAGAGACCGACTGCTCAGCAGTGCCCCTCCCTTTCAAATGGCATTCCTGACCCAGCTACACCTCAGCACGCACTCCCCCTGGGGTGGAAAAGGTAACCTTTTCTTAGATGTATATACCAAGTTCGGGAGAAATGCACTTGCACTAAAAAAATGTTTCTTTTCATGAAACCAACTCGATATGAAGGTTCGTGGATGCAACAGAGACCCAAAACCCACCCACAAGGTAATTGGACAGTCCCTCTCAAAAGGGCCACACGGAAAGGATGAAAAATCCAGGGGGTGGTATGGCACTGGTGAACCACATAACTATCCTCTAGTTCTTTCGTATGTCCTCCCCTTATATGAAGGCTGTTTTACCTCATGAATCGTGTCAGATTTGCGTATGTTCATTTGTATATGTAAAATTGTTCGGTACATGAAAGTCGAGATACATAATCTGCAGAAACAGTAACAGGAGTAATGGTTCCCTGAGGGTACAGGAAGAGGGGAAGGGGAGCTCATAGCATTGATGACGCATAACTCCACTTCCTGGGACTGAACAACAGATTTGTACATGAATGGATATATTGGATTGTGTAAGATATGTCAATAAAACTATTATTTAAAAATGTTTATTTCTTTATATTTACCAACCGATGATATCATTTGACTTTGAAAGTTTTTACAATTTAAAATATGTGCTTCCTGAAAAGACATGAGGAGTGTCAGGTTAAAGATGTAAAAAATAAAAACCCTCCTCAGTTAACTAACTATATGGTTCCCAATTTTCTGGCATTTATGGAATCCTGAGGAGCCCTGGTGGTGCTGGGGGTTAACCTGGGCAGTCAACTGCAAGATGGAGGGTCAAGCCCACCAGCTTGCTCCATGGATGAGGCTGTGTGGTCCTGCAGAGATTTAGTCTTGGGAACCAGAAGGAGTTCTACTCTGTCCTGTGGTCTACAATCCAATCAATGCCCCTCCTGTACAACCATCACCTGTCAGTGGATGCTTGCATGTGGCTGAATAGGTATCAGTGGAGCTTCCAGACTAAGACTGGCTACAAACAAAGGCCTGGCGATCCACTCCCTAAAATTAGCCAATGAAATTGCTCTGAAATCACAAAGGCCTGAGGTCCGCCATAGGCAGGGTGCAGGACTGGCAGTGTTTCGCTCACTTGTTCGCGGGGCCGTTGTGAGTCAGAGCCTTCTCAAAGGCAGTTCACAACACGATCCGATCCAAACAACCCATTGACACGCTGTTAAGCCATTTCCCTTTGTGGTGGAAGAAATCACTCAGTTGGAGGCCAGGGATGGGAGGTAAAAAGGAAGATATCTGATCCAATCAAAAATGTCAGGGGCGGGGGTACAGCTTGGTTTGAGTCAGGCGAATTGGTCTTTGAAAGTTCAAGTCAACGAGAGAGAGAGAGAGAGAGAAATGGATTGATTTAGAAATGTTTATTGAAGATTTAAAGCTCTTCCCACATAAGAAATGATGCCCAGACCACTGCGCCCGAAGTGTATGACTTGG